GGTACGGGTCCCGATTTTCTGTGTCGGAGAGCCCCAGGCGGTTTTCTGTCCGGCGGGGGTCACCTGTACCGGCGAGTATGGGGAGGACATTTTCTGTAGTCCTCCCTGTAGCACCGTGAACGGTTGGGAGATAGATGGCTCTACCCTCCGGGTGAGGGTCCATCCTATCAATCCCGGGTACGGCGCCGATCGGATCAGCGATATAATTGCTTGAGCCCGGAACGGTTTCATGGCGCGGCGCCGGCGGCGGTGCCGCGCCTCCCATTTCGGTTGTAAATGTCGTGGCCAGACGAATGGCCACTGCGGAGCTAATAGCTCCCTTTAGAGCCATTGCGGTGGGAGATTCGTCCTCCTCCGCGGCGAGCGCGGCCACCACCTCGTCGCGTACGAGGGGGGCGATCTTCTCGTCCAGCAAGGCGCGGAGCGCGGCGTCCACTTGCTCCGCCACCAGCCCGGGTACCGTTCGGTCGAGACAAACCTGGACGACCTGGGGTAATTCCTCAGCGGGGAATTCCTCCATCCAGGTTTGTAATCGCGGGAGTAACGCGTCGTACAGTACTTGTACGCGGTTTCCCCCACCAGCCGGTAGCCCGGCGGTGGTGTCCGAAACGGAAGGGGTCTTCTGGCCCCTGGTATACGGCAGGCGTAGCAGGGCTTCCGGATTGTCGATCCGGGGGCGCTGTGCGCCTCTGCCACTGCGGGTACTTGCTCGCCCGGAGGCGGTATCTTCTCCGGCGGAATCCGCACGATTAATCGTCGATGATCACTGGCGATCGACGCGGTGATTTTCGACCTCTTTCAATCCGATCGGTAATTGCTCGCGCTGGCGATCCAGTGCGGGCTCAACCTCTGTAGTTATACCCTCCACAAGAGTACCAAAATGTGGTATAACTACCTTCGTCCCGACCACTCGGAACGAGGGGGGGTTAGAGGTAAGGGAGCGCGCGCCGCTGGGTAACCCACGCGAGCGCAAACCGTACGGAAGGACTCGAAAAGAGGGAAGGCTCACGTGGCCGGTGACGCGCAGCCGTTCGGTGGTGTTAGATCCGGACGGCCGGTCACGGGTTAGAAGCCTGAGACTTAGAGGTAAAACCGGACGGAGTTAGCAAAAAGCCGTAAAGGGAAGGGAGGCGAGTCTGCCCCTGTTTACTGGAACGGGGCAGGTGCCCCCGGTCTTAACCCCTAAGTGGGACGCCAGGACACCTGTCCCGCTACAGTAGCTGTTACTTACTGTATACCAGCTACTGTACACAATTAATAAAAACTTGTGCCATTAACTACTAATTACTACTTATGACCGTACGGATCACACACGTGTAGCCAGTGGATTATTACTGTTCTCCGCACCGGCCACCAGCTGTAAATACAACTCCTTACGGTTGTGCTGGCGCTTACACGCGAGATCACTGTCCGCCGGGGCAGCAGCGATGGCGCCGTCGCCTCTGCGCAATTGTACTACACTCTTCTTCCCTCCTACCAATCGTTCGTCTTCACCTTTGGCCATAAGCGATGCATGCGTCGGCTGACCTGGTACCGTCATCGTAAGGGGATGCTCACATTTGAAAACGACATGCGAAGTACATCAGGTGAGGTGCAATTCAGTAGCATCATGGACAGCTCCATTCAAGACAATGAAACCAGGCCTATTCCAGGTGATTTTCGTTGAGATATGGCTCAGACCTTGTCTCATAGTTTGGAGAAGACAACGTCTTTGCTTTCAAATTCAACAAACAGGCTTGGTAAGCCAGTAATGCTATGTAACTCTCTTGAGAGGTGGCTCTGAGATTGTTTTGCATCTGCGTTATCGTACTGTTTCTTTGCTCATGAGATACCGTATTCGTCATATTGAGAGAATCATGTGCGGTAGGCGTGAAGGTTGGTGAGCACGTGTGGTTCCGTGAGTGCAGGTTGTCTGAAACCACTGTGGTATCTTCTAGAGCCCACCAAAGGTTGTTCACAGCTGCGGAGTATAGACCACAGGCGAAGTCATAAATGACGTGTCTCGGTAAGGTTGCGAAACGGGAAATGATGATATCTAGTACTGCTCTTGGACCTTCATTCTTCTCCAACACCTTGAATCCCATAATGAGAGGATTTGAGCAGGAGCTTAGAAATGTCAATGCACCCCGAGTGAAACTTTTGGTTCCCTGAAAGTAGGATTTTGAACAAATCCCGAAGGTATCCTTGCTGTTCATATTCTTGAGCTCGTCATTGAACGGCATCGGCCGCACTTGTGGATGTGCTAGGAAGAACACTTCAGTGCGACACGCGGACACGTAATTATTAATCACATTCCCCTCTAACTTGGAAGCAAGGGACTTCTCCGACAAGAATTCTTGTCGCAGTTCCGTAAAGTTAGTTCCGTTCCACTTCACGGCACACATTCCTGCCGAGCATCTTTGAGCAGCACGGCTCGAGTAGAACTGGTAGAATGTTTCAACGCGATCAGCAACGTCGTGCAATACTTTTCCTATATGACCCAGCAGCTCAGGGCTGTCGTACTCAAATTCAATTGCTGCTAGTATCCCGCCGCGTTGCACACGAAGAAAACGCATAATAGATGTGTCAGATAGAATGCCGCTCACTGTTCGAGAGCTCTCAGCGAGAAGGACTAGCACCACTCCACGTCCCTGTGAGCATGAAGCCGCTACGACACGCAGGCTTGCCAATTGCTTCCGTGTAACCATCTGCGTGCAAGGTGACTGAATGAGATATCTGATGAGAAGAAACAGATCCATTCTCGCAGCCCAAAGACCACTGCCCAGAGATGAGTTCATAAATGCCTTGGACCAGCACTTTCCTTCCCGGTCAGTCTCATTCTTTGCTTCCAAACCATTGTGTGAGGCCAAGAAGCCGATAATGGCCGTCATCACTCCAGAATCTGTTGCAACAACATTTGAAGTATGTCCACTCTGAAGGGATGCTGTCCCAGTCCTTCTCAGATCATCATTACGAGAACTCTTGCGTCTCTTTCGAGAAGGATTTGTTCCACGTTGACGTTTTTTCAGATACAATAGCAAGGTACGACAGAGCCGCTCACACAGCTCTCTTTGACTGAAGCAACAGCAAATGAGATCTCGGAGGCGACTCCCTACGCTTATGCTAATGTCATCTTTGTCGTTAGGGCTTCTCCCCGTTAAGGATTCATCGAGATAGTTGACAGGAAGCAAATGAGGTGATATCAGACGAATAGCTCCAACACCTGCCGGTTACGTTCTATTTGTGACAGTAACTGCATCGCCTTTCATAGCACCAATTAGAAACATCCCTGTCTGTTTCTTACGAAGCAAGCCAGTCAGCGGTCTCTTGATCGCCTTCATAGAATGCGACGATGCCTTAGACGGCTTTAATGCCTGACAAGTCTCAGAAACGTTGACAAACGTTCTTCGCCATTTTCTCTGATAACCAGACCATATACCGTCCGCGCAGACAGCATGCAGTCTCCCTTCGTCTCCTTCACATGTTTCACATTTGAAAAGACTTGAGGGTGGTGCAATCATTATTAGTTTGCTCATTAGAACGCACAGTTTCTGCAGTGTTCGTGAGGACCTCCACCTTCTCTCTTCTCCAAACCAACCGCTGTCAACATCTCCTTTTACTTCTGTACCAGATCTTGAACTGCTCTGCAACGCCACTTCCGTTGTCTTCCAGGCAGCTTCAGCACCTTCAGTGAGCATACCTTCGTCATGATTCAACTGCATCTGCTCCATGAACTTCTGAGACCACTGCTCTCTTGTGATACCCGAAACATTGTCCGTTCTCAGGGCTTGACCCGGAACTAAATCAGCATCAATACGAGCTGTGACGTCCGATAAGTACTGCTCCAAACGGCCTCTCAGCGTCCCATTAGATGTTGCTACAACCCTGAGGATATGCCGTAGCAGGACGTGTGTTGCAGCTGTTGATAAGCTAGCCAATACTATCTTGTGGTCTCTGCCTTCTGAATGAATGATAGTGTGGCAGTTTGAGCACTTGAAAACTTCAACCTGCATTTCGCACACTCCAGCAGTTGTCATGATAATATCTTGCTGCAGCTTTCGAGTAGATTCGTCTCGTTCTGAATTGCAAAGTACACAAACCTTGGGGGCTGAAACCATAAACGTCTGGTTGCTCTGTGACAGCAACACTATTATCCTGTTCATTCTTATTGCCTCTTTGCAATCAACTACTCCCACTGGGTAATGAGATAATCTCCCAAGATCATACATTGGGTGCCAGTTTGGACCGTACAGGAGCGGTTCCAACCTAACGTTTGTACTAGCCCCATCCTGCACAGCAGGTCCTCCGTGGAGTAGCAAGTCTCGCAACTTCGTGACATGCTCGCATGAATTTGTGCAGACAAGGTCACAAAAAGCACATATGTAGTGCTGACCATTGCGATGTATGCATCTTATGGGAACATATTGAATGGTAGTTTCTTCCGAGTTGAAGCTCATCGCTAATACTGCCAACTTTCATCCATGTTGATATGTGAATAGAGGCAAATCGTCCATGTAACTTTCATAGCTCTGAAATACATTCACCGCAATGGAGTGGAGTGCTTTTCCACAGATTTCTCGCCTAGTCTGAGACAACATTCCAAGTTCTGTTAGAATCGCGTTTATGGAAGAGGAATGACAGCAGCAGTCGTAATGAAATCCACCGGCTGCTTCTTTGATTCGAAAGTCCACCATACCAATGCATGTACAACGGACAAGTCCATCTTCATTGATCCATGTGCAGGCGCAGTGTCTCTCCCGAGCCATCGATTTTATTTCCTGCCCAGATGATAGGCGTGTTCGAAGAGACAAATGGACACAAATGACTACTCGCGGCCCAAAGACCATCTCAATCCCCTTCTTCTCCACTTTCCTGTACGCGTCAATCACACTTTCAACGCTTGCCTTCAACGCACCTTTCCCTGTATCTGACAATCCTGCCAATGGATTAGAGACATGACAAGCCATTTCTTCTACGAAGCGAGAAGCGAAAATCTTCGATCCAGAGCATATATCTGACAACTATTGGCAAAGCGCAGCCTTGCTTTTCGGTACATACCTTCTCCGCACGTCATCGAAACCTGTTCTTCGGCGTCCTGCACGCCCATGCCCGTTTGATGAATATCGCTGGTAAACTGAACTAAACGTGAGATTTAACGGCGCTGCGGCAGACGAGTGCTCCAAGTCATCAGCAGTATCGTCTGTCTGGACCGAGCACGATCTGGAGAAGGACTTGTTTGCTTTTGAAACCCATGAAGCTTTGTCATTATTGATGCCGAGTTTGCTCTCAATAGACTGGTTTGAAATCGCGCACGTAGCCCTCAGCAACTTCGGGTATTCTGAATACTCCGTTGAGGATCCCCATCTCGATTTACAGTCGGATGTACATGCAGCGTCGTTGAACCTCTTCACTTCATGTCGAAACCACTGAGAAGTGGAGTTCGACTTGCGCTTGGGTGTCTTCATTCAAATACTGCACGTACACGCGAAAGGAAGCAACGAGTCAAAGTTAGATTCGATATGGCTTCCGATCACGCAATTCGGGGGGGTTCCTCCCGGAGGACGCCAAGATTCCGCTTCCGAAATGTGGAGAGCTGTGCAAAGTTGGAAAAGTTGGATATGCTGCGGGAGTAGCGCGGGGCTCTGATGCCACGTGTTTCGGAGGGACGATTGAGATATGTCGAGCAGCGTGTTCTGCGTGCGGCTCGGGGATGCCCCGCGATAAGCCGGTAACTACAGATATTGCTTTCAGTGCGAGGGTGCTACAATATGAGCGTGGCGGTCGTGGATCCATTTGATTCAATCGTAGAAAGCGATCTATTTACCGTTAGCCAAAACAATAGGATCACGAGCAATATGCAAAATAATTATATTTTTCATTATGTATTAATTTTATATGGTAGAGACAAGATATCTGTAAAATATTTTCTAAGTGCATATTGCATCCATAGCGATTATGCACAACCTGAAACTTGATGCTTGCCATACGTTCAGTACGGCTTAACACGATTAAATTCGTTAAGTCTATGGTTATCCTTGGTCCAAACTCTTTGTACATCTGTCGAATTTTCCTTCCCATCGTCCTTCAGTTGCCCGCACTAACTGTTTTATTGCGATTAACAACGCCAGAAATAGGGAAAACGGACATAATTGTCCATACCGACCGAATTCCAATGCAATTTTCAGTTTGCCGACTCCCGTTACGACTACTACACGCTTCTAAGCTATTGGGTAGAGAAAAATTCAAACTTATATTACCCTACTCCAGGTCGAAGTAAGTATGGTCAGTCATAAAGAGCTTAGATACAATGGGAACCGAACTAAGTTATAGTGGTGTCAGAAAAGGGAAACATTAATGATACCGGACAGTACATATTGATCATAGAAGCCCTGCCATCCACTTTTTTGCGATTACAGACCCTTCATATTGACGTAGCAATAGAAGTTGTGATAAAAGGGTGAATTGGCCCCTTTTCAGGCCATGAACTAGAGAAGTAGGCGCTAAAAAGGCCCTGTAACCCTATCGTAAGTGAAAATATAGAGCACTAAAGTACAATGAAGCGTATAAGAACTATGTGAGACCGTTTAAACGCTTTCTGCAGTCGAGAGTACTCATTTCTTCTATTCTTTCAAGGGTTTCAGAGCATTCTTTAGACCGATTACACGTTTCAACACGTGGCAAATCTTAAAGATTCAATTTCGTGTCAAATTAAACCCGATTATGAGGGCTCCACGTGGAGGGACAGCCCAGGCGATCGCTTCCTTGTTCCATCAGAGCACACGCTTGCTTCCCCATTCCCATCTACTCCTCTCACCTGATCATCCCTTACGCTCCCCCAACTCCCACCTGCTCCCCCCACGTTGCCGCAACTCCCACCCGCCGCTTTTCTGACTCCCCCAACTCCCACCCGCTCCTCCCCACGTTGCCACAACTCCCATTCGCCGCCTTTCCGACTCCCCCCAATTTTCACGCGCATGTCCATTGACCCCCTACCTTCCACCCACCTAGTAAGCTGCTTTTCGTCGAAGGACGTCCGAGTTTTTCCTGGCGTCTTGATAATAACCTTCGCCACAGTGCACAACTCTCAAAAATTACTCTCCTTCTGCTTTCTGCGTTTCGCGCTTTGCGCTTCTGTGTTCTGCGTTTCGCGCCTTGCGGCACTTGAACTACTACGAACTACCACCATGGCTTCAAGACATGATGCCGACGATAAGCCAATCTACGAGATTCTCGCTCGATGCGAAGCTCTCTTCGGGAAACTGAGAACTGGGGCTTCCTCTGAGAGGAAACAGGACTGTGTTTCTATTATTTCTGAGGAGTTTATCATCCCTACTAAAGCCTTGGAAACTCTCATGAGCTTGACAGCTCTCATGCACTGTACCACTGTTCGGACATATATTCAGCGAAACTCGGAGCGATTCCGTATCCTCAAGTGCAACGCCTTTCTACATGGCCTTTACGCTGAACGAAGTTCACGCGAGTTCCTAAACAGTGATCTCTTCCTCGCTTTGGCATCACATGGAAGCTACAAAGTGGAAGAAGATATTTCCAAAACTATAAACCAACTGGATCTCGACGCGAAGAACGTATGTACAGCTTTCTTCTTGAAGATGGCTGTGTTTGCAAGCTCGTTGTGCGGATGGTTTTCTGCCTACGAAGATCCTACTGTGGCGAATGTTACCGAGGTATTCAATATGTTCTGCTCGAAACACTGGTCGACCGATTGCATGCGGAGCCAATACGGTTTTACGTTCCGTGCCTTCGGCATGCGCAAAGGATGGGACATCATACGGGATATCATTCTAACCAACTTAAAGGCATTGCAGTATGCCAACGGACCTGAGAACGTATCTGGTCAAGATGTCATCATCGTCCTAGAGGATTGGATTTTACAAGTGGTACAAAAGGTTTTGCAATGGATGCTGCAGTACGTCGATGATCGCTACAGGGCTCTAGAGGAGGAAGACTTCACTGTCTCCCAGGTTGTCGGCTTGTGCATGCACAAACTAATATACTACGTAGGCCCGATGTTCCGTGCTCCATCTCCTGCAATGCGTGCTAGGATTGTCCTGGATCGCTTCAAGGCAGAACTTCGAGTGGAAGAATGCAACCGTGACTATGCTGACGGTTATTATGCTGGGATAGGCCGAGCACGGAGAGCAGGAGCGCCAACGGGGAATTATCAGGGAGTCGACAGGGCTGAAGCGTGAGCTATGCTTTCAGAGAGAGCTAGAGCTCCTAGGCCGCTTCCCGCAACCCGACCACGCTGTAACGTACCAGGATAGAAAAAACTTGAAGAGCTTGGGCCCGAGTTGCAGCACACACAGCGCGAGCAACGACGAATTTCGGATGAATTGATCCAGTCTTCGAGGAGGTTCAGAGACAGACTTGAGTCTACAACGGAGTCACCACCTTCCAAAAAGCGCAGGTCGAAGTTTTCATGTTTAGTTCAGATGAGCAACCAGACACTACCAGACCGAGTTCTTACCATGGACCCATCTCCTGCGCCTCGGCGTCGACAACGTCGATCGAGATTCGGGTATCAACAAACAAGTTTGTCGTTCTCTGATCAAGCAATACCCCGAACGGCGCCACCAAGACTTCCGGTATTTCCGCAGTGGGACAACCTTCCGCAGAAACATTTCTTCGATGCTCCGCAGTGGTCATCGCTGAATGAAGAACACAACAAGGCCCATCCGAAGGACCCTGCAAGCACGCGGAATCCTGGAAACCAGGCCTATCTCAGTGAGCTACGGAAGGAAGCACGTGAAGTGATTCCTCCTGCAGTTCCTGAAGAGAGAAGGATCGCACCATGGAAATAGATGACAGAACGCGCGGGGAACATCGCACTTATGAGGCATGGGCTCTTCCAACGGATTCCCGTTGAGTATGACTTGGACTACCCAGACTCCGACAATGAGGACCTGGCCTACACGGGTCGCCCCAAGCAGCCCTCGTTTGAAGCTTCTACCAAGTTTCTGGATATGGACTTCGAGATTCTACTGTGCTCTATGATGTACAGCAACCTGGACTGGAAGGATGGAGATAGAGAAGATAAGGATACTGATATTCTGAGGGGTAGAAATAGCGATGCCTTTCTGAAGCATTTCATTACGGACGAGCTATGAGTACCCTGCCGGAGGACTGCGACAACGTCACGATGTTCTCCGACTACATGAAGTGCATACTGTACTTGGAAGTACATTTCTCTGTGCTCGAAGAGTTTCATGCTAAATTCGCACTACTCAGGCAAAGGGGACCCGGGAATCTAAGGCACACTATGCAAGATATGGAGCCGCGCTTCCTCAAGCTTCATGCCGACAGGGTAGAGAATTCTACGTTGTTAATCAACTTTAAGGGCAGTATCACTCAACCGGCGATGAATAAGAGACTTCTTGAAGAATGCAGTGGTATGACACTGTGCCTTGGTTTCATGGGACGCGATCCGACTTCGAATCTTCCAGAAAATCTGAGGGAAGACTCGGGTCCAATGTTTTTCGTCTGTCGCAGTTTGTTCTATGACAGAGATGACATCGACGAAACCTCACCAGACTTTAGTGTGGACTTGATTCATGTCCTCATCGCTGGGAATCGGGCACTCCTTGAGCCCTGGCGTCCTGGTGAGAAAGACTTAATTTGCTTCTATCCAGTTTGTGGACTGGCTGCGTACCACCGAATGTTCCGTGGAGTGCATGACGTATGCCACCTTCCGCCTAGGATCATAAAAACTATGATGGCTCGTAAAATTCCACAGCCGAAAGGCAAAAAGGGCTCAGTACATCTAAGAGGAGGGAAGAAGTGATGGGGGACTCGGATGTTGCGCATCTGCTTGGAGGAGTTGACAAGGGAAGCCTGGCATACTTGGACTCTTTGCCGGAGGAAAAATGCAACTCATCGCAGAGGAGAGCCCTGGTTACCTCGTTGAATGAGATAGGAGGCATGTGTGATGGCGGCAGTTCTTTCTCCGCCGTCGTTGCACCTCCCGGGACGGGGAAGACGACATCTTTTGCCTTGCTTATTGGAGCACTGCTGCATCACTCGGTTGCAGGACATGTCGGAAGGAAGCAATTGAATATTTTGGAACTCGAAGACGGCCTACTGCGATTCACCGACAACCCACGAGGGTTTCGAATTCTTGTTTGCTGCAGTTCTAATTTTGCAGTTGACAACATCTGCCGAAAAGTGGCCGCAGGCATCCCGGATGGTGCGGAAGGCAAAATATTCCCAAAGTTTGTAAGGATTGGAAGGAAGGCTTACAACTACAAGGACCTGAAGCCTATTTCACTCCGCGAGCAGGCCTTGCCCTACGACCACCTCTTGTTTCACAAGGATGCGGACCCTCCGTTGAAGAACCCTTCTTCTATCGCGAGGAAACATTTGGGGATGGAAAGCGTTGTCTTCTGTTGCACCCTGTCCACGGCTGGATCTGCGAGCATGAACGAACTGGGCGTCGCTTTCGACGTCC